CCAACAGAGCTTTTGTAACTCTGACACACCCAAAGTCTTTATCTCATCACCAACAAGGCTCATCGAAGACGACAAAGCTCTACCTCGTCTGGCACATGCCCATTCCTTTCCATCTTAGAGATCTGTGCATGGTCCACCAAATGCATGTATAACACTAAACTGTAAAAAATAGGTGGTTTTGTTCAAAAAACGGACGAATACTTCCAGTGACATAACTAGAAATCGAAAACAGTAATGAACGTATTAAAGCATTCACATCCAGAACTTCGAAAATTTTCTTCGGCCTCAATTTCGTGGCCTCCTTTTTTACAAGCACATGTTTGTTTTTGTTTGCACTAACTGAAGTAATTAAATTCAAATATTAAACACTTGCGGGCCTGCTTTTCATGGTATTTGTAATTTTGTTTGTTTAATTTCTTGATGGCCTCGAACGTAAGTAAGATTGATGGTATTCCAGTGGCTATTTTCTCCACCTGAGCTGACTCACTCCACGGAGTGAGCCTACCTCTTGCTTCCACCTGCTAAGCGAAGAAAGAACATCAGACTCGTCCGTTACAAGATGCCATTCAGTAACCAACTCTTCTATAATAATAGCCAACTAAACCATCGACCGATGACACGTATAAGACATATAGTTTTAATGTTTATTTGGAGACCACACTAGTGGGAAAGTGAGGCGAGAAAACCTACTCAAGCGCACGTAAGTGCACTCATTATTAATTACCATCCAATAGATAAAGAGAGCCCTACGAATTATGGATAAGATGTGGTTCATTCTTCGTTACTCGTATCGTCCCTCTGAATCCCTTAATCACTAAGTATCCCTGAGTGACCATAGATATTTGTGCTGAATATACCTCACATCAGCCCCTTAGAAGCGACGTCTCTGAGAATGTCGGCCCGGCTGACTTATCTTTAGGAGATATATCTAGGGGTCTCCGCTGAGCGCATTTGTTATCGACTGGCGACTTTAGAAGTGAGCTCTGTTGGGACTATGATGTCGGCTGACAAATCGTCACTTTCAATCTCCACACGAAAATGCCATATATACGTAGTAAATGTATATGAAACAGGTCAAGGTTTTCTACTTAACATTTTGTAAGGCACGGCAAAACTGGCACTCACCAAACAATTTTATTGCTCATCTCTCCCATTTAAATTCCTATATCATAGTGCTACATGTTGAACCATATTTTGCACATGTTCTACAACACGGTGGTCAGCTGCCAAAAATTGACTTTGCAGTTAAGAGTGCGTCTTCCCAGATCATTAGGCATGGCTTTCTCAATGCCTTAGTGGCACAGGGGTTAGGACTCTCGCTGACCATGCACATGGTCCGGGGTTCGATCCCCTGCCGATGCACACCTGATATCAATGGCTGGCCTGCGAAATTTGGGCTACCGATATCACATGCTGGAAATTTGAAACTTGTATCAACAAACTGTGTGGAGTCAAGCTACAATAAAAAAACAAGGAGTGCGTGGACCGGGAATCGAACTGCGGACCACATGCATGGTCGTCGAGTATTCTACCACTGTGCCACCAACGCACAATGTGCTCTTTCGAACAGTTTGTTTGGATATAATACGTCAAGACACTTCTGGAGAAACGGTGTAACAACTTATCTAGTATGAAGGGCTGTACAACCAACTGAGAGAATGTAACTGTCCTTAAATAGGCAGAGAGCGCAAAAATGTCGTTGGCATCAGTTTGTACGTATGTACGTTAAATTGAGTCCTGAACACTAGAATGTGCGGTGCAGTATCATTACATCAGTTCACATAACCTGCTGTGTATGACGGACTTCGCTTCCTAATATCATGTCAACTTACTATATTTAGAACCTGTTTAAGTTTTCACTACATGTTGTTTTGACGGACACGGTGAACACGTACAACGGGTTGAAGGCTAATATTTGCATTTGCTTGAGGGTTCAGCAATACCACACTGGCCATACTGATGGCTTTTAGCCCCCCACGCAGTATGAAAAAGTCTTTCCTAAGTAGCTTGGGTACGACTGGAAGGGAGCAGAAAGGAAGTGTTGGCAGAATGTCAGATCGTCCTAACTCCCTTACACAGAACGTAAAACCAAATCGATGTGGAAACTAACATGGTGCGGAAGACCAGGAGAGTTCAGGGGTAATACATGGTCCAAGGTATTAAACATTCGATTTGGTTTTAACTTCAGTGCCATCCATAATGGTGGAGCCGTGCGAACTAACCAGTTCATATAAGTCGTGCCTGCGTCTGAAAGGGAAATTAACGTCCTGACATTTGCAGGGATTAAGCTTTAGACCATTTGGCGAAGACCACCGACTAATTTCTGATAAAAAGGTATATATTTTGGAACAGTCTGTCTGCGAAGTAACCGTTGGCATAGAAATAGACAGACCACCAGCATACTTGACAAAATGGGGAAAGTTACTTAAGAAGGAAAACAGAAAAGGAGGAAGAATAGCTCCTTCAGGAACACAGGCTAGGGTAGGTTAAGCAGTGGAGTTATCAAGTGCCTCATGTCAGAAAAATAGGAATGCAACCACTTGGTAATCTAGCACTGTGCTTGTGATGCAGCAAGCTTCTTTAACAAAAGAGGCCTAGGTGCGGATTCAAAAGCAGATGTGTAATCCAGGAAGGCACACTGAACATATTTGGCACTTTTATCCAAGCCAGAAACAACTATTATGACTTAAGAAGACAGTGGCATCTAAAGTACACTTACTATGTTTATAAACAAATTGACGGGGGTCTTTAAAAGCCTTCAATGAAGGTCCAAGGTCAAGTAAAAGCAATCTTTCCGTGATTTTTAAAAGTGGTGAAGTGATGGAAATAAGTATAAACTTGTCAATTAGTCCACTTGATCATCTACGCACAGGAACAATTTTCAGGTTTCGGGGATTCGATACACTTGGGGGCATCATTTGTGTTAGAATCCGAGAAGCAGTTATTACTTGCACTTGTAGCATTCTAAATCATAACATCAGCTGGACGACACGTGAAGGATTTATTACGAGTACCAGCATAAACTGTAGAAAGATCATTATTTATCTGCTTACTCCTGGTGATTTCTTTAAATAGCTTCCACATTTTTGATGAGGCTTTGCATGACAAGAACTTACGTTATAGGTCCTAATTAATCTCTGAATTCGTGATTTAATTAAGATGTTCAGTCTCCTTACTCAAGGATTGTGTTTCATTTTGTTTAACATTTCTTTTTCTCGGCGAAAATTTTTGGGCTGAGATGAGGAGAAGCGCTCAAATCTTTTGGACAATAAACATTAAGACAGAATTTGAAATAACATGTTGCGTTTGCGATTGTGTCATCTAGAACTTGTTCAGTAAATAAACCCCGTTTGTATCATTTAACGTGTTCCTTCGATTATTTATGTTGCCATGAGTTGATTTTTCTTGCCAAGATTCAAGAAGGCCCTTTTGTGCAGCTCTGCATATGTTTCGGACAATATACGTGTGATACAATGATCAGAATTGAGTGGAGGGACCCTTTTCGCAGCCTCAAGTATGCCGAAGTCATTTGTAAACACTTGATCGAGAATATTTCCTAGTCGTGTTGAGAACTATACTATTTTTCATGACCTAATGAATTAAGGAATATGCAGTCACAAGAATTGAAGTCGCCAGTGACTACTGACAAAGAGTTTCCCAGGGAGGTGGCAGAAAAGGAAGTAAAATCATCGGCAAGTAAAGATAGTTCTGAGAGGCTGTAATATAAATGTTTCATATGTATGTAGTTATATTTTGGAAAGTGTTTCGGTCGCACTTTACCAGCCAGACAATCAATTTAGTCACTAGAAAACATACGTTATTTGAGGTCCACCACTGAGAATTGATGGAGGATGCAACGCCACCACCGCATTTATTTTTAGGGCTACCTCAATCTTGTCTGAGTAATTTGAAATCATTTGGATAGATTAAATTATCATAACGTGGGTCAAGGAGCAAGGCTTCCTGAGGAGTCTCAATACCTGCATTGAGATATACACCGGAGGACACGAAGGAGTGCAGAAAGTTAATTTTAAATGGCAGGGGGCGACAGTTTGAGCTCATAATCTCAAGAATAGTCATTTGATGTTGCAGCCGTAAATAATTCCCCAAAATTATTGACCACAGCAATCATCACTGAACATTGTATGCTGACACTAACTGTTTAAGTCGACTTGTTTGACTGAAGGCTCCCACTCAAGCCATTTGGTACTCCGTCGTGTCACGTTCGTGCACGATCACTAGTCAGTTAAGCATTCATCTCGATCTACGATTTGGTCCAGAAATATATCTCGTAGTTTGGACGATTAGCTCTGGTCTTTTGTTTTGCCTTTGGTCCACGAGGAACGAATACTATAGAAGTTGTTGGTATTTGATCTTGCATTAGTATACTCCGTACAATCCGCGAACGTCTATACCGCCAGCCTTTAAAATGTATTGGAACAATTTTAAAGCATGCTGCCACCCGGAATGATGCTTTTTAATCGGTTTTGTGCAAATTTGCAAATCCATAGGTTTGAAGCATTTTAGCAATTTGCCAGTAGAAACAATGCGACTGGAGTCCAAGTTTTCAAAAGTTTGATCAGCTAAAACCGATTGGACACGAGGAATTCGATGCAATATTATGGTGGATGGATATTTCGTAGCCCAAGTTTTGAGCAGGATGTCGCAGGTGCCCTCTAGACTGATAAAAATGCTTTTATTCAAAACACTTTGGCTTCACTCTCCTGTGCCTCACTTTTATGAAGCTCAGTGCTTTAGGAGTCCAAGGTGTTTACTCTCCATCAGCAGGAAAGGTGTAGACTCTTGTGATCATTGAAGGAATAAATCAAATAAACATTTTGGGACAATGAAAAGATGCAGGAGTGAGGAAAATATGATTTTATTCGATTTGACCTGATACCACTGATGTATAACAGGTGTGCCTGGACCACATCCATTGAACAAAGCCCTCTATGGCGTATGACTGACACGGTTAAAAATTTGCGCTACTTTAATTAGCGATGGTAGATCGTGGTGGTGCATCGGGTTCTCCCGTTACACACTCCAGACCACGAACCGATCGTCCTCGAAAAAGGTTGGGGTTTCGCAGTTAAATCGTTTTGTCAAATGTTTACCCATTTCATGCACAGCTAGCCATATCTTTCGTTTTAGGAGTCGCCGAAGTGCAACCCCAGGATGATTGAATAAGTACGAATGATTTATTAACTTGTCGTTTGCATCAACCCAAACTGAAGTACTTGTGTTGAATCTTTTCAGGCACCGAAATAGTAGCAGTGCCTCAAGTCGAGCCAGTTCTCCCGGTTCCCTTTTAGTCAGTGAAAGCAAACGCAATGGCAGAAACGACGATTCCCGTAAGCGTGACGAACAGAGGGCGGAAGAAGATAGGATTCTGTAAGTTCGGATGTCATCGGTTGTTTCAATTTCCTTCAAAATGTACCCAGAAATGTTTAGTGATCTATCCGTTTCGTGAAATTCCAGTTCACAAACTGGTTGTTTGCTCATGTTGTTTTCTGAGCACCCATCTAACACAACACAAGGAGCGTCATTCCATAAGTTGTCACGAGCTTCCTTTCTTTAATGCAGCAAGAGTTCATTCACAGCTTATTGTGTTAAGGCCGGCACTATTTGCTGTTATACGTGTAGTTCCCTTTAATAATATCCTTGGCTAACTAGAACTCGGTGAATAAACTGTGCTGCGTGAGTTCCAAAACAAAACCTTGCACAGAAGTGCAGCAGTTCGAGTTGCCAAACTCAGTTTAACACGAAACTAGACAAGAAAGAGGAAAACGTCAGGTTGGAAATTAACAATAATCGGCAGGAATGTGTGAGAAGAGTGTGGGGAAGGGAAGCAAAACGACGGTCAAGTGGGTATAGGGGATCACAGAAAGTGAGTGGATCCATAACTGTCAGTCCTATCACCGACATTCTCCAGCTATCGATTGTTAGCATCCTGGGGACCTCAACCAGGGAGTCTACACCTCCTAACATGGTTCAAGTCGACTGTCAAAGACTTCGTGGATTGGTGCCGCGTTTTGGTTTAACCAGTCGTAACCCTTTTATAACGTAATATAATGTTGGCTAACATTTCCCACCGAGGAAGGCGACTGCTTAGCATGCGCAACACATGACCTCAACATGTCTCAACCGATGTTGTTCCACATACACTCCTTGCCTAACATCATGCCTGGTCTCGGTATTACTAACAATATTATACAACTGAACACGTGAAACAGAACTCAAACATCTGTGGTAAAAGACATCTAGTCTTTTCAGATCGTCCACTTTTAGTGGCCATGTCTCACAGCCATGGAGGAGGACAGAGTGAACTGCTGCTTGGTACATACACCCTTTGATTGATATTCGGATATCACATCTACGCTTGGAATGACGTAAGTTGGCAACAACACGTTCGACCACTTCACTCCCTGTCTTTACACAGGAATCAGCACAGTCTAGTCCTGCAGCATCATCTTACATTTGGTAGGGGCGAATCTCATGCAAAACATCCTAAGTTGTTTGTTCATGGTGTCTAGAAGACTACACTTTGTCAGCGTCTTCACCCAATAGGACGTTATAATCCGCATACTCCAAGTCAAAAAGACTTCTCTGGTAACAAGCCAATTTTTGACTAGATAAATCATTTAGGGTTAATTCCACTAGTACTTGAGACATTTATTTTTACTAGGTTAGACTATTTTCACAATAGATCTACTCGTGGTATATTTATAGTCTGCACTGAATACGATCTGATTATTCAGTTGTTGACTGTTCATCCACCTATTCTCCGTGTTTCATTTTGCATTCGTGAAATTTAGTGCATGCTGAAATAAATACTACAGAAGACCTTGAGTTTGCATCTGTTTCACACTGCCAGAAGTGTTTTAGGGTTTTCCCTTCACTTTATCGGTGATAGGTCTACCTCCAGGCAAACATGTCTTTGAAATTACTTGTCAAACGACATAGCCCTGTGTGGTTGTCGTTTCACCTACGAAACATTTTGTCCTCAAAGAGGAGACATCAAATCTCAAGTCTTCCTATCACAAGCAGGTTGCAGCCATACCACTGCTATTATTCAAATTCTGTTTCGGTTAATTAAAGTAATTGTAAACCTCAGATAGACTGCTGAGAGGCTATTCTCAGGAAACACAAGGCGAATAGGTTATGTTTTAACATTTAATTGGTGAAGCTTGATAAACGTCTCAAATATTCCAAAGCTATAGGAATTGTTAGTTGTTGCTTAAATTTTCCTTGACCTTCATGTATAGGCTAGCTTGAAGCTTAAGATCCTTGGGACTAGACATATTCACCCATCTGACTATGCATCAGCTGCATGAAGAGGAGATTAACACCACCTTTCGATATATTACAACAGTATCGTGATGATTTTTCTATTCAGTTTCCGAGACCAACCGTTAAGGAACTGCCTTAACTAAAGTCGACTCACTTCAGTTTCCTGTAACAGCATTTTTACGCATTGTTAAAATGCATGCTTCATTAATCCCCTTCATCCACTACCCGAATCGGGTCATGACTTCAAGCACCTGTGTGTGTAATTTTTCCCGAACAGTAATCGCACGCAAACTTCACACTGATACATCTGAACAGCGTCGGGCCGGTTAGTCATGCATTGGATCACTTACTGTTCAACGGACTTTTGTTCTCACATATCAAGACCACCCAACACTTGGTGGTGAACTTACATTTTATTAACTTTGTAGGCTTGCTAGTGTATTGACCCAGTTTACTTATTTTTGACGTAAAGCATGTCATCATAGTTGTTCGTGTTTTGGTCTCTGGATGGTACGAGTACTTGGATTACTGATCTATTAAGACGAATAACCAAGGAAAATGTACACATCGATTTGAGCATGTTTCTCATAATGCTGAGTAGTACGTCGAAAAGTCAAGTTTTGCATGCGAAAAGTTGTCATATTTTGGGTAGCAGTTACAATATTTAAATTCCGAATTAATGCGGAGATATAAGAATAAAACTTGGGCACTGTGGTAGAGTGTAATTCCATTATGGGTAAATTTTAATTTGATGGAGTCTCACAGTGTTATACAGTAATATTTACTGATGACGTTTCGAGCACAAACTATTGCTCATAATCATAAAAAGTTTTTTGAGCGTCTGTTAGTAGAGTCGAAACCCTTTGGAATTTCGTATTTCATGGATCGTGTTGCGTATGGTGAGACTTTACAAGCTACATTAATCAGTTTAATGATCCTGTAGATATTAAAATCAGGTCCCCACTTTTGTTCTATATCTAGGTGTCTTTTCACTTATCAGATTATGAGACACCAATTGTGAGGATTGACAATACTACCTAGTTGGCTATGTTAGATTAGGTGAGATGGGACCCAAACTCGGAACCTATTGGTTGGAAATCGGGCGCTTAGGCCAATGAAGCACATCATGGGATGGGTATGTACCGTTAAATATTAGTATTGCTAGTAGTGCAGCCCGGGATTATAATGTGATTTTCCGAGTTGTATGACTGCTTCCACCCCGTTTCACAATAGATGAATACTTCCAAAGTCACTTCGAACTGAAGGAGTATCGCACTATATTTTGTCCAGTCTTCTGCACGACACTGAGAATTTTATTTCACTTTTTACGCATGTATTGACCAGCCCACATGGCTTTTACTTTTTACTGTCTTACAGTCGTCAGCGGTGGGCGGAATCTAAACTCCTTGAAGAAGAGGTCGCTCGACGTCTGGAGCGTTATTTAGACTCTGAGCTAGCAAAACTACTCGTTTTACGCAGAGTACAGTTCAATGCTGAAGTTGAACGTCGAGTAGAAGCTGAACGAGCCGAAGTCTTGCGTAGAAGAGCCGAGGAGGCTGAGCGCAAAGCTCGAGAGGAGGCGGAGGCTTTAAAGCGACGTGAGGTGAGTTTTTGTGTTTACATATTATTGCACATGATCGTCAACGTCTCCAGGCAAGTGTGGACTATGAGTTAAGCGCATTGGATAATGACCGTTATGTAAGACGCTATTTGACAGTTTATGTGTAAAAATTGGGCACTGATAGTATATAATTTCATATTAATGTTTATTCCATATACTACACACTGAAACTGCATTATCTACTAGTTGGTGTTTCGAGAACAATTTATTACCCATAACCAGACCCATTGCAACTATACAATGGGAGAGAAGGAAGCTATCCTAACAAATTACTTGCCAGTCGAAATTCTATTGCTCTAGTCAACGAGCCATAGCTCCTTGGCACTCAAGTAGTTGCGATATCTTTGTACTGATTTCAAACCCCGTGTTTAACTGGACATAAGTAAACCCAATACAAGAGATTGTCAGTGCAAATAGCGATATCTGTAGATATGCAGTCTATTGACCCAAATAATGGTGTTTCCATCGATTAGTCTTGGCACAAGGTGCACTCAGTCAAGTTCAACCTACAAAACCAATTGCTATCTTAATGCCTCAGACATTAAGTGTGGCTCATGGTATAATACACGAAAAGAATTGCACAGAGTAAGTAGGTTGCACTGTTAAAGCGATAGGATATTTGATTCACAGTGTAATAGTGGGCTTAATCCGTTGATATAGATTTCAATCTATTTTCAGCTTTCGTGTGCCTGTTTGTTCACATCTCGAAGATTGTAACCAAGAATCTCTCAGTACCACATGCGTTCACAACCCTTTAATAAGTTCAGAATTTAACTGCACAGAAGGGTAACATGATATCATAAAATGGTGCGGTGGAACTCGCAACAATTGACACTTACTTTTTATGGACAATAAAGTAAGTTCCAACCTGAATACTAACTGGTGTTTCATTCGAATTCATATTTCTAAAGTCTATCAACTTTCATTCTTTCCCGAAACAGGAGGAAGAAAGGCGATTAAAAGAGCTGAGTGAACGTCTTGCTCGAGAAAGGGAACGGGAATTAGAGGAACAAAGACGTTTGGAGGTAAGTGACAATTGTAACCTATGAATTTTCCTATGCTGCAATGTTGGTGTAAAATATTAGGTTTGATTACTAGTTTGAGAGGCATATAATACCTTGGGTTGTCCCTCCGAGAAGTCGAAATAACAAGACTATCGTATGTATGTATATAGTGAGTTTATTTCCTAGACCGTTGTAAATCAGGGTTAGTGGGAGTCCTAACTGTTTGGTGGGTCTCAAACTTCTTCCGAAAGAGTAGCTGCTAGATTTTTTTCGACATATTCTTACGGCTTTAATTAACAGATGATCGAGTTCTGTCGGGTTTACCACAGTGAATTTGAACTATTCCGTTATCTGAAACCCTGAATACCCGTAATCTAAGCCAGATAGTGGGAAAACGCTGGGTTCATTTTAAGCCAATCGTTTGAAGACGTACGGGTCACTAATCACATAATTGAAGATTATAAGTATAGGTATACAGTTAATTATGGAACCTTACGCTACAAATCAATAAGGAAACAACGATAACTCCCTGGCAGAAGAGTGCATCTTTTAACAGCATTGTTGTTTAGTCGACATTGCACGGTGGTAAATGTCGCAAATTCCAGTTAAGGTGAGTTAGGAATTGCACCACAAAACTTGAAATGGCAAATAAAATTACACACCTGATTCAGTTTTCTGGTGTATACCTAGGAACTTTGACAGCGACTAAGTACAAACTGAAGATATCAAAAATCTCTCATTTTGTCCTATTTTTGTTCTGTCGCTCATTGGACTTCATCATTTACTGGATGAATAAAGTGAGGATTGTGCTGCATGGTGAATAGTTAGTCCTTTAATCAATGGTCACGATGTGAGTAATTTTTAATTTCAACCTAACCCTATGACAGTATAGGAAACAGACTTATCCTTCAACATATAAACAACTCCAAAGTCTTATCCGACTTTTTTGTCTGTCTGTCTGGATTCAACATAGAACTTGGCACCGAAGTGCAGCAGTTCGAGTTGCCACGTTCCAAAGAGCACACAAACGTAGACAAGAAGATGAGTGAAGAGAATCAATAGAGTTTTGACAAGTATAAGTGTGGAACAGAATGAGTAATGGTAGAAAGGAATATGAAAGATAGAGACTGGATACATCTGCGCCATTGACAACGATTTTGAGCCATGTCACCTATTGTCTCCGGTCATTGATTCTTAGAGTCCCGAGGGCCGCAACCCGGAAGTCTGCATCTCCCTGCCTGACTCAGTTTAACTGTCAAGGATTTCATGGACTGATGCCATGTTTTTGTTTGGCCACCACTTACTCTTTTTCAACCTGCACCTATATCAGCTAGTAATGCCCGTCGGGGGAGACGATGGTTAGGCACACGCAGCACGTGACCTAACCATCTCAATCTATGTAACTTTATAGCCTCTTCGATTGATTTTCCCTCTTTGCCCAACATTACGCCTAACGTCAACATTACCTACCTTATTATGCCGCCTAACGTGAGAAAGATATCGTAGACATCTATGATCAAAAAGACTTTTTTTACTGATTACATACCTTGGGGCAAAATTTTGTGTTATAACTGATGAGGTATGATGATATCATATCTTTGTCTACAAGCCCAGGAGAATTGTTTGTGTGTGTTGTGTACCATATGGCTAACTGTTTTCTGTTCATTTTCATATTAGGAAGAGGCTGAGCGAAAAAGATGCGAAGCAGAGCTTCGTGAACTTGAAGAGCGTCAAAGACGAGAGGCAGAGGAGCTTCAGCGGATTAAACGAGAACAAGAAATTATTCTGAACAAAAAACGGATTCGACCGAAACTTTCATTTACACTGAAAAAATGATGGTTATAATTTCATTTATTTTCTTTTCTATTTATTTTTATTTTTTCTTATTTTAATTACCTAAATGATTGTCTTTATGACTTAAAATATATACTCAAATGAGTGTAGGTAATCAATTATCCTTTCATTTTATTTGTTTTATCTGCACTTATTTTGGAAAGATGTAACTAGTTTATCAGGCACACTTATTTATTTGTGTATATTTAATGTGTCCCCTTACCCACTTATTTTATTTCTTTGTGCTTGTGTGAACTACTTTTATTCCACTTAATTTGTTCTATGTTTATAAGTGGTGCATTGTTTGTATATAGATTTATTTTAGTGGATGAATAAATTAGTGAAAAATAATCATCAGTAATGTGGTATAAATTTTCGTGCGGTTTATGCGGTCACTGTATGTATGGCTTTGTTTAGACATGTGTGTATATGCTGTGTAGGAGAGGTGGTTGGTTCATTAGCTTCAGCACTCTACCTCCAACTAATATGTCCGGAGGTGGTTGAATCTCACTTCACCTACTTCAGCCTGAGCAACTGTGTAGTGTATCATTAACCCCCAAGTATTATGTGTGGCTGATAGCCCATTCATTACAGCGTGACTGGCCTCACACAATAAATGAAATGAAGCGACAAACTATTATTGAAACTCACTGCGTGCTCGTAAAAATGATTCCAAGAAATAGTGATACATCAAGCAACTTATGCCCTTCCAACCTTAATTTTATTTTTATACTTAGTTTCCTGTATTTTACCTTTGCTCACCTTGACTTCTTAACCTTCGACAGCCTTTCGCCTTTGTTTGGATTCCAAGCCTATCTGTGTCGTTTCGAGATGTTAGTGAGTAACCCTCAAAATGGCTGTCCCCAATGTGACATCTAACACAGATATCCTGAAACCGCGTGCCGCGTTCAAGCTGGCCACCTACAATGTTCGGACGCTGATGCAAATCGGACAACAGGCAGGGTTGGTAAGAACGTTGGAAAGCCTCGCTATCGATGTCTGCTGCATTTCGGAGACTCGCATTCAAGATCCCAGTGAAGTGCTTCGATTATCCTCTCCATCTGGAAGTTCTAGTAGTATGTACCACCTGCGCTTGTCCGGGGACCATGTGGCGTCGGCATCCGGCGTAGCTGGTGTCGGCGTCGCACTGAGCGCTAGAGCCGAAGCTGCACTGCTCGACTGGATTCCCATTAACTGTCGTTTATGTGCTGTAAGGCTGGAAGGTTATACGAAAGTAAGGAGTAGTAGGCCAGATAGGCGGTGTCTATTTGTTGTCTCTGCCTATGCACCAACGGATTGCATCCCGGATGCAATGAAGGACGAGTTCTACCACCAACTTAACGATCTCTTGAGACAGGCGGGTCGGAGGGATATCGTAGTGCTGGCTGGGGACTTGAATACACAGGTCGGGCGTCTGAGCTCAGAGGAGAATCGTCTAGGTGGTCAATGGGGACTACATGGTCGCAGGTCAGATAATGGGGACCGTCTTCTGCAGCTTTGCGCGGCTCACAACCTATTTCTGGCCAGCACCAACTTCCGGCACAACCATCGCCGTAGCGCTACCTGGCGTCCTCCCTCTGCGAACCAAGCTTGGACTCAGATCGATCACATCGCTGTCAGTTTCCGGTGGCGAGGATGCATACAAGACTGTCGCTCCTTCTGGAGCACATGCCTGGACTCCGATCATGCGTTAGTGTGTGCCAAGTTCGTCTTGCGATTTGGTGGGGTTCATAAAAGGCATCGTCTAAACGTTGATGTGAGCAAACTAGTAGCACCTGCTACTTGTTTGAAATATCAGAATGAGTTACAATCAATGCTTGCCAGCAACCCCCCAATTAGTATAGATGAACATTGGCTCCATCTGCAAGGTGCCATGCAAAGAGCTAGTGTAGCCGCTTGCGGCTTGAAAGAATGCTCCGCCAAAAACCACTGGGTTTCTGCGAGTTCCTTGCAACTCCTGGATGAACGCCGGTCCATTCCGGCTGGTAGCGAATACAGCAATAAGCGAAAGGCGCTGACGCGCAAGATAAGAAAGTGTTTACGTAAGGACCGCGAGGATTGGTGGTCAGAACGTGCGGGTGAGATGGAGGTAGCTGCTGCATCTGGCAACAGTCGGAAGCTGTTCCAACTCATCCGAGCCACTGGCAGCAAGAAACAAGGTGTCAGCGAGACGGTCTGTGAGGCGGATGGCACGCCAATTACCAGTTTGAAAAGACGCCTGGAACGCTGGGCAGAGCACTTCGGGAAACAGTTTAGCTGGCCACCAGCTTCAATGTCTGCTGTCATTAGCCCCAGTGCTCCTTGGTCGGTTAATACCGACCCACCCACCGAAGCGGAGGTCCGTAAGGAACTCCAGGTGTTAAAACGCCATAAGGCGCCCGGCCCAGACAATTTACCCCCGGCTCTTTTTAAAGATGGTGGCGAGACTCTCACAATGGCTCTAACTGGGTTGTTCAGGAAGGTATGGGAAACTGAGAGTGTACCATCAATGTGGAACGAAGCCATCATCGTCCCTATCTTTAAAAAGGGTCGACGTAATTCGTGTGACAATCATAGGTGTATCAGTCTGCTACCAGTCGCGTCTAAATTATTGGCTTCTGTCTTGCTTCGCAGGCTGTGCAAAATACGTGAAGGATTGATTCGCGAAGAGCAGGTTGGGTTTCGTTCAGGTCGTGGATGCATTGATCATGTGTTCACCCTTCGTCAGTTGTTGGAACACCGCCACACGTATTGCAGGCCAACGATCGTTGTGTTTCTTGATATTAGGGCTGCCTTCGATTCGTTGGACAGAACTGTGCTCTGGAACTGTCTGTTAGAGAGAGGTGTACCTGAGAAATTTGTTAACATCTTGAAAGCCCTATACAGAAACACCTCAGGTAGAGTGAGGGCATACAACCAACTATCATCACTGTTCCTAACGAACAGTGGGGTTAGACAGGGTTGCCCGATCTCTCCATTTCTCTTTAACTTTGCCATCGATGACATTCTGGAGTCAGCTCTGAAGGATGTGCGTGAAGGTGGTGTAGATCTGCTACCTGGAGATAGATTCTTCGACCTCGAGTGTGCAGACGATATCGTCTTACTGTGAGATAGCATGCAGGCTGCCCAAATCACACTTAATCAGTTGGCGATCAGTGTCTGTAGGCATTGTATGTGCTTTGCACCGTCTAAGTGCAAAGTACTGTTACAAGATTGGCAGGAGCCTGTACCTGCACTCACTCTTGCGGGTGAACCGCTTGAAGTTGTTGATAAGTTTGTGTACCTGGGTAGTTGTGTGAGTGCTGGCTGAGGGGTGACGGATGAGATTTCCAACCGTATAATGAAAGCGAGGGTGGCATACATCAACTTGAGCCACCTCTGGCGCCGTCGCGACGTTAGCCTGGCTGTCAAAGGTCGGGTATACAATGCTTCGGTGAGGACTGTCTTGCTCTTCGCCTGTGAAACCTGGCCTCTCCGAGCTGAGGATGTGCGGCAACTCTGCGTGTTCGATCATCGCTGTCTCCGCAGGATTGTTTGCGTTCGATGGCATCATCGCGTGAGTAATTCTGAGGTTCGGCGGCGTGTGTTTGAACACAGTGGAGATCACCATTCATTGAGTGTCGTCATCAGGAAACACCAGCTCCGGTGGCTTGGACATGTGCTGCGAACGTCATCCCAGAGGCTTCCGTACAGGTCTCTGTTCGCTAGCCCTGGGACGGGATGGAAAAGGCGGAGGGGTGGTCAGTCCATGACGTGGCGTCGTGGGATGAAGGATATTTGTGCTAGATTAGCATCGGTTGGTGTGTCACGACTCCCTGGTTGAGGTCCGCGAGATAGCTCGAAACGTTATCGGATATGGCCAAGAATCGTAATCAATGGCGAACGTGCTGCAATTTCCTTGTTTCTTCCCTTCCTGATGATAGATAATGAATACTGTTTGAACTTATTAAACATGACTGTTTTCCTTCCTGATGAAGTTCTTTATTCGTTTTCTACCTATATTTTTACTTTTAATCTATGTTGTTTTATTATTATTGTGTGGCGCATCTTTCTTGGTGCCATATTGTACCAAGTTTTTCTGCGTTTAAATAAGTAAATAAATAGACTGGCTTCTAACTAAAATCAAGTAACATGCTGCTTTAGTTACTATGACGATATTTTTAGTTTCGTCTGTATAAACAGCAAGTGATCAGTTACAACACCTGTTTCACCAACTAATCTCTACGCTGCTGGGTTGTCTTTCTGTTGCGTACTTTGAACCTGTATGTATTCGTGACTGAACAATCGATAGTGACTGGATGGATTGCTTCTTGAGTTTCCGCTATACTTGATATGTATACTGTTGTTGAGTGCTGAGGTTGAAGTCATGCCTCTTTTTGGTATTTAGGTGTTTTCCTTAGATAATGTATCACGTCAGTCTTACTGGCTTCCTACTGTACAGAAAAATACTTAAAATTCGCCAAGCTCAAAAGTTTGATTCCACTTTTCCCCTCATACATAGGCAGGTTCTTCACCTGAGGACGCTGCAGTTAAAGTCTGGAATTCCTCACGGTTTTGTCATCTGAATTTACCCAAGTAGGCTTACCATCAGGTACTTCAAAAATTATATATGAGCCTCCAAGTATCTAAGAAGCAAAAGCGAACAGTAAGTCTATGAGGCGTAAAACCCAACCACCACTCAGTTTTTATTTACCGTCCTCATATATCTTTTCTAAATCTCCCTCTTACCAGTAGTTTGATGTTTATAATTTTGTCATTTACTAAAGTCGAGGTCATCGCTGGATTGTCTCAATAATTGGGTATATATTCAGGTGGTTTGGAGTGTATTGTGTAAATATATTATATTTCTTAGATGAAACTCTGATAAATATATCTAAGTGACCAACAGATTCGAATCTGTAGCAACTGATACGGACTTTCACTCGTCAACCTTTGTCTACAGCCCCAGTTTAGATAATCATTGCCTTTAGTTTGGAAATGAGTTTCATCAATACTACCAAAATTTAGAGTTGATGAATCAACAA